AATCCCCCCCCCCCTCCTATGTAAAGCGGCAGCCAAATCTGTAAAATTTATATTTTTCCCTTATGCAATATACCTACCGTAACCCTCACTACGACGTCAGAATTTGGCAGAAGATCAGCTGTTTTTGTGGCTTACCTCATAATCCACATAATGGCAAAATTTGAGTCCCATGTTGAAATAGAAGAAGATTAATGAAGTGATTGCAAAACTTGGTTTCCAACCTAATATCTGCAAACGTGCAACCTCTGTCGTTTTTCCTGAAAAAATCCTATGTCAGTTGAAATAATATTATTGCTATTGAAATTATAAAACGGTCTTTCCAAAGCGTGTGTTGTGTGCACGCAAAGTCTGGTCCGTCAGTTCAAAATGGGAGTATGTGTTTTGACCACACAAACACATTGTTACACAAATGAACTATCAATTATTGAACAATGAGATTCAATTCTCGATCACATCTGACATGTCGGGAATCATTATTTAAATGTAACTTCTATGTTAGTCGGAGATCCTAACATTGAGGACTCAATTATTATGACTAAACGCCTCTAATAGGATTAGGATTCTGTTGATTTCATAGGCTAAGACTTCAATTGTTAGTTTGAGTTTTCTCTTATTCGTTGGTTTTCTTTTGATGATGTTGCATCTGTGTATTTGTTTCACATTTCTGTATGCTTATACTGTTGTTTGGATCTCATCCAATAGTTTTCACATAAAATGAGTTTGTGACAAGTTCAGTCTTGCGTGACTAGTTCAGTCTTGCACTATTCAAACAGATATACGCTACAAACATTTCAAACATACATAAAATAATATGAAGACTATAATAATAACTGTAACAATATCAGCAACAGCTACAATAACAAACAAAAACATGTTATGCACTTTTTACAATCAGATGAGTAGTCGTGTCAGCTCTTGTCTGATATTGGCCATCCCAGACGGGGATGACCCATGCGCGCAATTCTTCTGCCGAGATGTCGAACCGGGCGACATCTCATTGAAATCATAATATTATGCAAAACTGCGCAAGCAATTATGATTTGCGCCGCTTTTTCTGGACGCACTCGCATTTTCGTTTGCAGTATTTGGAAGCAGCCCTTCCACTTCCCGAACACACATTCAACAATTATTCGCATTTTACTGTGGGTAATGTTGAACCTGCGCTGCGCCCGGTCTTAGGAGTTTCTGTAAATGGTCAGAATTCCGTTGGAATTCATGAATCCTGAGTCCCCTATCAAGCAGAAGCCCTCCGGAACAGCTCCTCCATGCAAGCGGTATAACTGCACATGGTAGAATCGTGAACAGAACCAGGATAATTGCTGTTGATGTACATAAATCTACCATGAGCGTCAACAACAGCCAGACGTTGATGGCGCAAAATTCCTTTGCGACAGTAGTATTCTGAGTGAGTAGGTCTCAGGATGGGGATCAGTGTGCCATCAATGGCTCCGACGACATTTGGGAATGCTCCCAGTCGTGCGAAGCCATCAGCCTTCCTTTGGCAGTAGTGCACGTCATCCAGGTGGCATGGTAAAAACTTCTTCACTACTGCCGGATGAGCGCTCTGACCACCTCCTCCACGGCGTTGGAGACTGTCTTCTGACAGACACCTGAGGGTATCTGCTAAGACGGCCTGATGATCTTGGTGGCGAGATAACGCAACGCGATGATAATCTGAAATATTCTGCGGCATGAAATATTTTGACACTCTCATTAGAACTCAACGACTACATGAGACACTTGATCTTCAAAAAGTTGAAGTGAGGAGGTGGGAGAGAATAACAGTTGCTTTTCCAGGACTGGCCGTGTTCTCGACGTCAACGCTCCAATTTTCAATCCGCTTGTGGGTCACGAGAGGAACCAGAAGGCTGCACAGGCGACGCAGATGTACTTCGCCCATGCGATATTTCCTCATAATCAAACGCTGATTAGAGTGAAACATGCTCATGGGGTGCACTCGTTGGTACTCAATATTCCTCTGTCTCGCCACAGACAAGATGGCTGGGATCATGAGAACATGAGTCATTTTTGAAGGAACGTTTTTAGACGAAAAATTTTTCAATGACTTCAAGAAATACGCTGATTACGAACAAAATTTCATTTTATCGATTTTATCGATTTTTTGTGATTCGGCTCCTACCGTGAATCTACCGTAACCGTACAGAGGCATCGTGCAAAATCAATATGATGTTCGTGTTCAGTGTGACGGATAACCCTCTCAACCAACTTTCAGACGAATCTGCGATTTTCGCCTCCTACCGTGAACCTACCGTAACCGCACAGAGAGGCAATTTTGTGGGGATTTATTACAATATTCGTGCTCAGCGTGCCGAATAACTCCTCATCATCTTATGATGAGTGATTCTGATCTATGCGTTATAGGCCAGGCTAAGGCGTCTTGAATTATGGAGTTTTACTAGGGGTCATTATCTTCAAAAGAAAAGGCAGGCTAGGAGGAAACAAATACATGATAACGATTTAAAATTCTCGTAAACTTATTCAGTGAGGAGAACGATCTCCTAAAAAATTGCAGAAGGTGTCTATATCAATTGGTCAAGCAATATGCAGGTATAGGAGAGACAGCAGGCTACACATCGAATCACAAAATGTGAAAATATCTTGAAATCCTACCATTTGCCGATTTTTTGATTGTACTAAAGGTTTAGATTTTGAATCTAGGAGTTTGTTACCTATAGTTAGTTAAATGGATTTTTGGAAAACAGCGTACTCAAATCAACTTAACAAAACGACTTAACTTCAAGTTCGAATGATGCGGTTATCAGCGAAAGTTTGAAATTGCGAAATATGACTTAAACCTTGGTTGAATAACCAAGAGAATCAATACCTTGTCACTGTGTCAAGATTTTACCTGTCACTGTGTCAAGATTTTACCTGTAGCCCTTTGAAATTTTTATCTTCAATGTAGGCCGATATGCTGAGAAAGGTTAGAGCGCCTGGTACTTCTAGAACTGCAAATCAACAAGTTGTGCGACTCCCAATAGTAAATGATGCAACAAGAAGTACATTCGTAAAATTGCAAACGCAAAATGATTTAACGCTTTAAATGCAGCTACCCATTCTGTATCTGCCTAGTCTTTTGAAAATTCCTATATATGCACAGACTGCAGTCATTTGCCACATTTAGCTTTCTGTAACAACTAATTACTACCGGTGTACGCAGTGATTATTCCAAATGATAGCAGCATTTACGTTATGCTTTAGTTAAATCAAATAGTTCCCCAATGAATAAGCATGAAGTCTGGGATGGCAACCATTAACGGTTTTACCCATTGATGGAAGAAATGTGCTGCGACTTACCGCGTAGCTACAAATCAACTTATAAAACGCCACGAGTTAAAGATTGCGTATAGTGCCATGTCACAGTTGGAAACAGGATCAAGCGAGATGCGACACGCCACACCTGGGAGAACGTGTCGAGGTGATACTGATGTTAGCGATAACATGGTTAACCAGGTCAGATATGCCCATCATGCAATATACTGGAACACTGGTGTTTTCGGCTTAGCATCGTATTCGTACAAGCATAATGAAAGAGTTCTAGAAGCATAAGAGCATCATTTTCGTAATTAGCATGTTCAAATAACCCCTGTGGAGCACGTTTTCAAGAATTCTGAGGTTTCCAGATATTGGGCCACCAAGTGACATGGTCACTTTCGCATTGTTAACTTAGTTTCATAGGTGAATTCACTACTTCTTCTTGCACTCAATACAAAGTACTGCTACTGCTTCTTCGCTCATATTAGGAATTTCAGTTCAAATAAGTATAAAACTAAGAGCAAGCCAAGGTCTTGTTTCATTTGTCGCTTTCAACATCTCAGGCTAGAGAACACCAATCACGCCAAATCACTGTGTTAATTACGAGGTTTAAACTATCAAATGTATGTGTTCTCGCCGCCTTCCCTCGCAATTTACATGGCAACTTAGCATGCCACCGTAACCCGATATTTTTGCAGTCGTTTCTATTTGCATAGATAAGGAAAAACAACTATTATTTTACCTAGGAGAGACGAATTCGAATGAAATTCCTATGGTGCAGAAAAGAATGCTTAATAGTTGCAATGATATGGAATAAACAGGAATTTGCATGCTCTAAAGGTAAGTTATTGGGGTGTGGCACAACCACTAAAAAGGTGTGGCAGCCCCAGCTTTCTTGCAGTTGTGCCACAACCCATTAACTTACCTCCATACAGGATTTCAGTGAACAAAAATATACAGTTCGATGGCCAAAATCTCATCGATTTTATGGAAGTGATAAGAGCTAACTGTCTTTTTTTGCTTAGGCAATAATTGCTGGAATCAAAACCACTGTAAGCGAATAATGAGACAAATGAGATTTTGGTTGGCTCATAAATCCATAGTTTTATGTTCATTTAAGAAGGATCGTATGGGCAAATAGGGGGTAGTGCTTTGCAATACAACACAGAAAGCGGTAGCTAAATCATAAAATATAGTTAGTCATATTTGAAAACGATCACTTCACTTGGGTGGGCCAATATTGGAAGCCCTAAAACTTGCTAAAACTTCGCTTGCAGAAGTTAGACATGGTAATTACGATATGTTACTAATTATGCTTGATACAGCCTCTATTTGTGCTTACGATAAGCAAACGATAATGCCTTGTGGGGAGGTATTGAGACAAAATGGGACAAAACTTGAGGGAGGATCGTGTCTGGCGGTTGTGTGCAACATCTCTTGCTCAACCTTGGTTGGGATTCAGCTGAGTTGCACCCTCTTATGGGCAGATATATAGATAGATATATTGTCACATCAAACAATGTATAGTGAATACCGTTGTTTCTCCATCGATATTGGAATCGATGATCTTTTTCAGGATTGAAAAATTACTAACTGATCCGTTAAAAATTGATGGATTTCTTTGTTTCAACAAACGAAGTCTCGTTTACAAGTTTATCTTTTTTATAATTGTATCACAGGAATATTCTTCCATTCTCGGAATCTCAGTGAAGTCTCTTGTGAGCTCATAAAACTTTCTTAGTAGCTTTCACGTGATGGAGTCGCGATCGCAATGGCTCGATAACGGCCGAAGGGGCTGCGAGAGGTAAAGTAGGCAAGAAGCCCTGAGAAAGGTGTGCGCCCTCAGAGACTATTGATGTTGACGAAGCATGGCCTTTTTCTGAAATTCACAAATACCTATGAAAAGTGAACGTGCTAGAAAATTTATAACCTTTAGCGTAAGACTTCGCCAAATTGTGAATTTCGGTTCGAGGAACATAATAGTGGATGGGCTGGAATGTAGATCATTGCTACGGAACAATGCAAGAAACTCTTATCATATCGTTAAATACCTGCACTACTGGAGCTACAGGAACTGCAGGAGCAGCCGCAACCACTGGTGCTACTGGAGCTACAGGGACTGCAGGAGCAGCCGCAACCACTGGTGCTACTGGTGCAGCAGGAACCGCAGGAGCCACTTCGACGGCGTGTGCTGCGAGAACGGCAGCGGGGGCAGGTCCTACGGCAACAGCGGGTAGTTCTAAATATGAATGCTGAACAGACCTAAACAGGCCAACACAAAACTTGAAATATACCTTCTGCGATGAGACCTGCTGCGGACCTGAAAAGTCAAAGATATACAGTCGTGTAAAATATACCCCTAATGCTAGCACCTTTCCGGTAATCGAATGAAGTCTATATAGTGCAATTGGTAAGATGCCATTTTTGGGTACTTTTCCAATATCCGGACCCCTTTTTTCTCAAAAATCTCTCAGAAAATGTGTCCTTTAGTCTAAGAACAATCTGTTGGACTCTGGACTACCTCCCTGCCACGTATCAGGAAGAAATCGACACATTTCAGTACGTTGTATGTTTTTTTTCGACCACCAGAACTATGGATAAAACAAAAATCTAATCAAATTTGCGTCTATTCTTCTGCAAAAAGTTTCACTCAAGCTAAATCACCGATTTAACATGGAAAGTTTTCAGAATGAGTAGTTGCTATAATTCGTGATAGGTCTCGGGCAGAGTTCAGCGATTTGGCCGTCGCGATTCAATTTCCACAAGACAAGTGGTACGAGTTCATTGCATGCCGATCTTTTTGCATTTCGGTTGAGATAGTTTTCGAACACGACTAGAACTAGACTAGTCCAACACGACTAACTATCACAAGCCAAGTACAAGAAGATCGGCATGCAATGAACACGTAGCACTTTTCTTGTAGCGAATGAATTGCGACGATCAAATCTCGTGAACTCTGCTCGAGGCCATGGTCGGCCTTGCGCGGAGAGTTTCAATGCTATCATTAGGGAGTAGGGCATTTAGATAGTAGAACCAGTTCGAGCCTCTGCGAAGCAAAGATGACGCACTGGATCAATTCAAACATCTCAAGTCTTGAAATGTTGTCATAAACAAACAAATTTTTGAGTTTAATTAATATTCTTACCATCGAAAACTGATAAGAAGAGCAGATAGCAGGAAGTAGAACGAGAACATGCTGACTGTGGCTAGGAGTAACACTCTGATCTTATATAGTGTTGCCTTATTCTTTGAAGGTTGTTGAGACTGCGGTGGAAAAACGACGAGCTTGCTGCACTTCTAATGCACGTCGGTCTTTTTGTTCTAATGCAACAACTTGAAACAACTTGAAACTAGTGTAAAGAGCTGTTCTTTGAGAAAAGTTGCTTTTTTGTAGCGGATTCTTGTTTGGAGCATATCGGTAATTCATAGCAATGATTCTCCTCAGAAGGTGAAAATGTAAAGAAGTCAACAAAGAAGACGCCATGTAGGAGTTCGACTCAACAAAAGCAGGTGAACTACTTTCGTGAAGTGGTTTTATTGACAGTTAATTCAAGCTTTTTTCACTAAAAAGCGAATATTGTGACCCTAGTTGCGCTGATTGGTTTTCAAGCCAAAAAAAATTATGCTACCAAGGGCATATAGCAAACATACATATTTATATTCTATCATGCTGAACTGCGTATTCACTGTAAACTATAGACAATAAAAAATATCAGGATATTAGACGCAAACTTTGCTACACGTACTTTGCTGTAACAGGCTAGCTTCGGTGGAGGTGTTAGGAAGTTTTGCAGTGCAAAGCTGAAGACCCGGATGTCTTCTAATCACAGCCGTTGTGAAACAGCGGTTGTTAGCACTAAGAAGGCAGAGCACACGTGCAAGTAAAAAAATCTTTATGTGATGTAACGTTTGAAAAGTTATAGTTCCAGGTTTACCAAAACCTAGGAAATTTTCATATCCCATCCCTCGATAAACGAAAGCAAGATTTTTGAGCTACCATGTAACTACCATGGGCCTCTGAATTGGGCTGTCTTCACCCTAATTCTGAGAGGCAAGAGAGGGGATGACGCTCCCAGGGAGCTCTTTCTGAAGGTAGGAAAGAAGAGGCACCAATATTCCATAGGACTAAAGCCTCGTTGCTGATTTGGCTTGCATGGTCAGTTCGGCTTCACAGGTTTAGTCCAAATCTTCAATGCTCGAGATCAAGATGTTATATTGCTTTCGCGCATTAGCAGAATAGTGGTTTACAGAGACGTGACTTCTGAAGAGACTTTCTTTGATTTACTTATTACGAGATTAATATCAATCAAAAAGGTTAAGAGATAGGTGGAATGGAATGTACAGTGCGAGAGCTTTGTGATAGTACCTTGGCTCGATCTTTGCCCAATCATAATTCGACTTTTCAACTGCTACAGAATGAAGGAGCAATCTCATTTCCAAAAAATTATGTGCGTCAAGTCATCAAATGATGTGATGCCGGGCGGAGAAGGATTCTAAGAAACGATTTACCTCCATTCGTTTTTGGCAGGAGCGGCAGCTGCATAATCTCGTAGAGGACGACACGCAAAACAAAAGAAAACTTCCACGACATTTGAATTTGCCTGACTCCGTTTTTTTTTGAAGCTTGCTATACCATGAATTATTTTAGCAGAGTTCACTTATTTTAGCTAAGTCGAATTACGGCGATGCAAAGATACATTACATGTTTCTATGTAATTTGCTCTAAATGGTGCCACACAGGATTTATGTAGTATTTATTTTTCTGATATTTTAGACCTCATTTGATGAAATGTATTGTGTCCAACTCCACTCCCAAACCTTTATGTCCAAACCTACGTCTTTTTTCTCAACATTTCAAAGTTATTAATCAGAGAGTCTCCTGTGCGAATTGTCTCGATTTATACGATGCTAATACATGCTAACAGTACCATGTTTATTCTTGAATAGCTGAATACTTGGCTCCTTTCGTTCCCCGTCCACATGATATATCAAAAGTTCATTCCGTCCTAGTTACGTTTCCGTGTCTCTCTCCCTCTTTTACATACAAATCCATTACATTTTCGGGGTCCCAAGGTGCATTCATGATCAGCTTGAGAGATGGGATGTCACTAAAAGAGGAGTTGGTACTGCAACCTATAAACGATATTTGTATTAGGATAAACAGCGGAAAATTGGACAGCTTGATTTTTACTACATTTCGAGATTTTTTATTTCAATCAACAGCAGAGAAATTGCAACTCAAACGACATAAGCGATTTCCGCCTGCTATTTTGGTGACGCGTTAACGCTTCTCTTCAACAACTCTACTAGCGATATGAAAAACTTGGACAGGGTTTCTTGAACAGCTCTCAATCTTGCGCTGCTTATAGCATAAACTCATAATGAATGACACAACATTGGAAATACTGCTTCACGCTCTTTCAGATGTTATATCAGACCAGTGCGCCACCTCTGCTTCGCAGAGGTTCGCACTGGCTCTACTATCTATGTGCCTTACTCATTCTCGTAAAATTATGGCACTGGAACTCACCGCGCTATGCGACTACCACGAATAAAATGTAAACAACCACTCATTTAGAAAGTCTTTTCACGTGAGATCGGTGATTTTGCGTGGATGAAACTTTTCGCAGGAAAACAAACGCAAATTCGAATAGGTTTTTGGATTTGTCATTACTGGGTAGTCGCCATGAAGGTAATGATAACCGTGAGCTACATCTCTGTGCGAAAATCTTCTCAAACGCTTAGCTAGAACCTTGGCAAATTGACCATTTACACAACCAATTCGTTTTGGCGCCATTTTCGTTATGTAGTAAACTTTTAATCACTTTTCTGGCTAAACTCCATCGCTTGCACATTTGCTTACCAAACTCATCCACGACTCTGCAAAAAGTGGTGATACGGACCGAATTTTGCGGTACAGAAGCCAGGTGGACCCGTTTGGCGCGCAATTTCTGAGGGACCCACTCGAATCTACTCGTGCTTTTGCATATTGGGCTTCCATGAAGGTAGCATGCGCTATGCAAAATTTGGGCTTAGAACGTTTGCTGGAACACGCTCTACGAATTTCGTAACGGACAGACAGACACACACACACACGTACAAAAAGACGTAAACAACCCTTAGCCCGTTATTATAAGTCATGATTACTAATGCGAAACGTCGCTGCGCTTTTTATTGGGGACGCCGCTCTCCTCACCGCAATAGTTTTCAAGCATGTCCTGAGCTCAAGTATGCAGCATTTGGCTAAGAGCTTCCTTTAAAAAGAGGATTGTGATATGTTCAAAAGAATTCAGAAAACTCCACACTTTATCAAGCAGAAACTTCTAACGATTCTAGGCGCTTTCCTGAATAGTGAGCTCTGCCGCGTAAAATCAAGGGTTTGGTGTCTCCGTCTCAGCGTCTCTCAGTGCCCTATCTTTTTCTAACAATTATTATAACTAAGACTCCCCGAATAATGCTGATCATCACCAATGAAATGTAAACAACTATTCATTGCAAAGGTTCTACCACATTAGAGCGGTAACTTTGTAGAAAAGAACTTTTTCAAAAAATAAATTTGATTTTCAATAACTTACTGAGGTTGTAATGATTAACATGAAGGCGGCAGCTACCACATACCACATCTCTGAGCAAAAATCTCCTCGGTTTTACATGAGTTTCCTTAGAAAATATAAAAGAAAGCTGAGCTATCTTTTTTGGCGTCTCTTTCATAGAGAATTGAGATTTTCGAACAATTTTATTCCTATGCTCAGGCTCAATAGGGTCTTCATCAGAACCAATCACTGACCACCAAAATCGTGGAAATTTTCCTTCAATTTTCTTCATTAGAAGCTATGTGGACCCGCTTCACGTGCGAATTTCAAAGGAACGGTGCATTGGTTCCGCTCGTCCATGCACATAGTGAACCTACATGCTAAGAGCGTATGCTGTGCAAAAAAATCGGCTTGAAACCTTGGTTGTAGCTCGCTCTGTGAATTGTGCGTGCGTGCGTGCGTCAGAGCCAGTGCGTAGAGCCAGTAGAGCCAGTGCGTCGCCTCTGCTTCGCACTGGCTCTACTATTCACATGCCTTCCTCGTTGTCCCAAAATGATGGCTTTGAAACTTACCTCGCGATGCCGATCATCACGAATGAAGTGTAAACAACTACTCATTCCTAAAGCTTTTTCATGTAAGATTGGTGTCTTTGAGGGAAAGAAGGTACTCTCCAAAAGATTAAATGCGATTCTGAATCAGTTACTGGGGTTATAATGGCTTGATAGTCGCCATAAAGATGACGACAACCCTGAGTGACATCACTGAGCAAAAATTTTCTCACATTCCCAAGTAAAACTTTGACAAATCGATCATCTACGCAATTACTCCTTTTTGGCGCCGATCTTGCATGGAAGTGAACTTTTTGCTCACTTTTCGGGCTGGAGTCCAT